GGTCCCTTGAGCAACGCCGTGTTCTTCTTCACATTTCTCGATCGTCCGCACCTTCGTCGAGCTTGGCGGATAAGTTGCGCTCGACAGGACGTGGGACTCCCATGCGTCCCACCTGCAGCGTCAACTCTTCCACCTCGCCAAGTAGCTCGGCGGTAGTCTTCGTTTCTCCGAGCTCAGCGGTCTCGGCCTTCTCCTCATACTCTCCTTCACCTGCATCTCCGTTCTCGCTCTCCTGGGCTTGGCCATCCTCGTCGAACTGGACGGTTCGTCCCACCTCCATCGTCATGGCGATGAGTCGTTGATCCGCCGGGTCCGACCCCGCGAGAGGCGATCCTCCAGCCGTCGCTGGGCTTCCGTCGCTCGGAGTTGCTGATCCCTTGACCATCTTCACTCTTCTCTTTCTCTTCTCTTCCTCTTAACTTGGTTAGCTGGCACCTATAAAAACAAACACACACTCCTGTTCCCGGGTCGCGGCACCAGTTGTGGTGTAGTAGAACACACAAATACCGTCAGATGTGGATTCCTTACACAAACCACAACGAATCGCCGAGTTAGTTCGGCGGTTGTATGGCCTGCGCAGAGGGTGGTCCCCTCGCGGTCCGGCCCTTCCGGGACAGACGAGTGGCTCGCTTTCACTCGGTTCCGACTAACCAAGTCAGATCACTTCCGAGGCTCCGCCGAGTTTGGTTCGGCTGAGCTCGTTCACAACCCTGTGCCCTCCACCAATGGATGGACGACGGCGCGCGAGCGCTTTTACAGGTCACCGAGCGCAGAGGCGGCTCGGCTAGAAGTGTTACGGCACCCGGGCTATCCGATGTACCGGCCCGCTGAGTATGCGGGGCTTTCTTTCGCGCGTATCGAGACTTTGTCCTACCCGGACCGACCTAATCTCTTGGCGCTACCAGTCAATACCCTACAAGCTATGCCTCTCGAGTATTGACGGCAGGCATAATCCAGCCCTATGCAGGGACTTACCGGAAAAGTGTACACGTGTCTTGGACTAGGAAAATTCTGCTCTGTTATCTTCTGGGAGCCATTTCGGCTCCCCCTATTTAATCCTATGCTTCTTATACAAATATCTAGTGAAATGTAGTCGTTTCGGATCTCTACCGACCCTTCAGCTGAGTTCCGGCGACCGTTGAGCTCAGCAGCCATCCGGATAGCATATCCGGACAGATCGCCGAGTACTTACCGTGATCCTTTGCTCCTAAACTCTGGGTTATCAGACCGTGCCGATTCTTGACCTAAAGTAGGTTGGCGTATGGTCGAATCTGGAAATCCCTACACCACACAATACTCAATTGGATGTTGACGACATATGCGAATGTTCCGACTAGCACGGCAAACACTTGGGTTCGAGGTAGTAGTAAGGCTGAAAGTTTCTTCGCCCGTGTTCTTCAGCTTTAACTGACTGATACCACCACTACTCGCTCGTTTGGGGGGCGAAAAGATCCTCTATTGTGGCCTTTTGAGCACGAAATCCACGCAGCTCTTCTTGGGGGAAATCAGGGTCATTCTCGTCCGGAAATTCGCGCAAAACTGCCGTAGGGATAGCCTCAAATTCGTTGTCGTCGTCAATGCAATTACGTGGCACACTGTATTGAGCAGCAGCATACCGCGAGTCAATTTCTTCATCACGCAAAACCTCCTCCAGATATTCAGCCCAAACCTCGAGAGTTCTTCCATCGCTGATACCGTCACCAGGATCCTCTTCGTCACCGTCTTTATCCGTGCTATGCAGCGGGCCTGGTGGCGAAGGGACAAATATTATGCTGCGCCCTTCGCGAAGAATTTCACGCTCCACAGGTGATATCAGTTGCTTTTTGTTTGCATTTTGAACCGAGTTTTTCAATGATCGTTGACGAACATGCTTCGCAATGATGTGAATGTCAAGTGCTTTGCTTGATTTCATGCGGTTGCGCAGTCCTATATGAATAAGCCCGAGCTCACTGAAAAGTCGCTCACATGTAGCAGTGTTGACAGCAATGGATAATACTGCCATCGCAAGCTTTGGTAGCATACTGTCTGGTCTTTGCTGGCCAACCCATCGCCAATATTTCCATAGAGAGCTCTTAAATTCACTTGCTTTAGTTCTTGTGAACTTGCCTTCCATCCAGTCGAGCATATCACTTCGAATGACGCCGACATCCTCTGTAGAGAATAGCCTGCGATAATAGTATGCAGCAATTGAAGGAAGGCGGCCCAACCCTGAGACCTTCGTAGTCGGCAGCGCTCGAGCGTGATCTGCATACGCTGGATGCAGTGCAAACCCCAGCATGAAGAGCGGTTGTTCACACTGCCGCCATCTTTCCTCGACACACTTGACGAGCTCATCACAACTACAAGGCAATATTCCGAAATCCGAGGTAAATATCACGATAGGATATCACTACGTCACCAACAGTGTTTTCATCGCGCTGGAGTCTGTACGATGCGTACGACAACGGTGCAATAACATTTTCAGCACTAGTCAAACTTGTCCAGAAGTCGACATCTCCTAAACAGCGCAGACTCAATGGAAAGTCGCTATCCATCCCGTACTGGTGGTGGAGCATCGGAAGAGCGGTCTTTACTCGAAGAAGTGACGCGAAGCAGCCCTGCATGGAGTTCCAGCGAGTTGCACAGAGTGTTCGTAACCCAAGTGTATTGCCGTAGAACCTCTTCATTAGCCTTCGTACGCGTTGCAGCCACTTTGCAGATGATTGGTTGATGATATTAACGGCAGCCGCTGCCTTGCCGGCTACTCCGCGAAACACCGATTGTAGAACCGATTTAACAAGATTATTAATGTCATGCGCAAAACAGCGCACAAACACGAGCTGTGGCCACCTAAGAGCCAATATACGCCGCGCACGCCCACATTGTCCGGCGTTATCAGTAATGATAGCACCAATATTCCACCCCTCGTCAAGTCCTTGTCTGATAACTTTCTCGATATTATCAGCGACTGCTAGTCCATCGTGCCGATCACCAACCGGTGTCAGTGCAAATGTTAAAATTACGCCAAAAAGTGTCAGCTGGACGCCCAAATTGTGCTCTTTTGAAATGTTCATTCACACATCCGATGACAGGTTGACACGACCACCAGTTGACGCTTGCATATCACTCAGTGCTTTTGTCTCCTTAGACCGGCAGCGCTGTGCATGCTCAACAACTACTCGGCCACCAAGTGTACGACGAGAAGGTAAAATTGCTGTCAAACCCGGGCAAATCAACTCTAAAAACCGCAGCACCGATTTCTGCTCAATAAACCGATCGGAGAGATGATTGTCCGCGTGAAGCTCGACCAATGCGCACTCAATTTGCTTAACCTCGCTCCTCGCGAACTGTCGCATTTGTTTCTTTTTTGCTAGGGTTGGCTTTGTGCTGCTTAAAGGAAAGATGTTGCCGAGCCGCAGGGTTCGTTGAGCTCGCGCTCGCTTCGCCGGACGTGACATTGGCTGTAGAGGCCGATTACACGAGCTCTGCGATCGTGTTCGTCTAGCAATTCCTTGCGAAGCTGTCGGTGATCGAGCTGCTGTCATCGCTGAAGGTGTCGCAGCGGGTGTAGCCGCAGGAGTTAATGGAGGGGACGCGCGAGAAGCTGCAGTTGGCGTCGCCGCTGGACTTGGCACGGAGGACACGGAGAGTGGTGATACCGAGCGAAGCTGTGCAGACTGGTAGCTCACACATCTGGAGAGATGGCTGCGGTAGTTACGCGGCCTGCCTACTATTGGAACAGGCAGCGTGGCTGCGTCGCCACTAGAGTAGGCGGCTCTGCAATACTTGCACTCTGTGTACTTGTAGCCTCCTTTTGCTTTGTCCAAGTCGTCTAATGGCACGAAGTGCACGGCTTCTGGGCACTCTGGACGCCCACCGGGCATCCTCTAGACAGGGATCGGATACGCAACTGAAACGTGGTCCTGTAGTTTAAAACTGGCCGGGCCGGCAGGGGCCACTAGTTTTAGCCCCGGCCGTCCCGGCCATTGCCGAACGGCCCGAAACCCAGTGCCGAAACCACGTACTGGACGTTTATTGGCCGAAAGGTTTAAACCCTTCTGTTAACGCTGGCCTAGTGCCGCCAGACAGCTGTCGAAACCCTCGCCACCGAAGCATATATCATCCACAAACGATCGTCGACCAAACACGGGTATCAGCGATGATTCGTCTGGGCCCCCGTTCATAAACATGTCAGCGACAGGGCTGTTGACGATCTGTCATACAGGGTCGGCCTCCACCGGTGCTTCGCGGTCTGCCGCGAACTTCGTTTGAAACGAACCCTCGGCTTGGCCCACGACGTTCCTTGGTCTGTTCTTCAGCTAAACACATCGTCTCTGAGTATTCAAACCAACCTCCTTTTGGCTTAACGAACCCCCCGAGCGCGTTGTCAATCATACGCTGGTAGATCATCGGCGCGTTCTTTAATCCAAAGGGCATGCGCAACCACTCGAAGTGTCCGAGTGCGCAGACAAACGCCGACACTTTTCGTGCTCGCAAGGTCATCATGACCGCCCAGAAGCCGCTTGCAGCATCCAGCGAGTAGAATCACAGTTAGCACTCGAGGTCAGATCAACAGATCGTCGGCTAGCGGAATTGCATACTCCATGGTTGCGGTGATGGCATTCACCATCTTGTAATCGATGCAGAGCCGGATGTCCAGCCCGTTCTTTTTCATCACAATCACGATCGGCGATGCCCATGGACTGTCTGAAAATACGATCAGTCCTGCTCGCAGAAAAGCGCATAGCAGCTCGTACCGTTTGCCGCGAAATCGTAACGGCACGCGTCGGGCACGCTGTTTAATTGGGGCATGCCCCTGCGTGTCGATATCGCATACCGCGCCGTAGGCTGACGGCGGCAGTGCGTTACCACTAGCAACCAGGATGTGCTCGTGGTTCTTCAGCGCTGCGACCAGACGTTCTCTTCGATCAGGCGACAGCTGGGGATCAGAAACATTGGGCGCATTATTGTCTATCGTCGGGTTGATTTCTTCGGTAAGGTCCGGCAGGAATGCCAACTCCTTCGCGTAGTCTTCTAGGCCAATGTTGTTAGCTGGGTGTTCGTAGAAGTCATTCCTTGCGTTCTCCGTTGCTTCATTTCCTTCGGTTGTTAACAGTCGAGCAACCGAGATGTACGTCTCGTCCAAAGTAACTACGGACCCTTCTCTCGACTCAACATCGGCATCCGCTTTGATGTGAACACTCGGTACTGGGTCCATCTCCTTCCCATCTCTGGGCCACCTGCCGAGCCTTTGTTCGCAATATTGAATGCGCAGGCAACCGACATGTTGGGCTGTTTATTTTTGTTCAGCGCCTAGGATGATCATTATCTTGGCAGTTCGGCATTCGCACCAATCTCGCAGCGAACACTCGGTGCCGTGTTCACCACCTTCAGCGCGACGTCAGCATCCTCTGGGCCGACCACCGATGATTCGTTCGCAAATTCGGCCGTGCACAAGGCCGGGACAACTTCGTCGAGACTGGTGTCTCTGTCTGATCCAGTGCTGTTACTTGTCGCTTCCGTTGTCACCCCATACTTGAAACGAACACTCGTTGGCGTGTGTACAACGTTTCCCGAACTCATTAGTTCATGTGTACGTGCTACCGAGTCGTCGTTTGCATTATTGCCCCCGTCGTGAGCTGTCGTGTAAGTTTCAAAGGTTCTTCGGAAGGCTGACCATCGGCCAAGTCCCCGGCTGTCACCCCATACGCCAGACAGGCCTCCACTCGTTGACGTTCCTCCATGATCATTGATCAGCGCTCTGCACATGTCAGACGATCATTAGAGTCCATTAGCGAGTCTTCAAGAGGCCTTGCTAGCACCCATTGGGTTCTGGGTAATCTCGTCGCTCGACTGCTGAAGGCTGAGTTGCAAGTCATTTCTCGTCGATTTTGCACTCACGCTAAAACAGCTCGCGATCTCTGCAACCTTCGTAGGCCAGCACTTGCCAGTCTTGGTACTTCTTGGAATCCAGACGCACATAGCCGTCACCTCGCGGCAAATCCCCACCTGGAATCCACATCGCGATCGAGTCGTGTGCTGGTAGGTACACAGTTTGGTCAGAAACATTGGTCAACCGAATGATCTGAGGCCGTCCACGTCGAAACCTCGCCACTGACGGGATTAGCTTGTTCGTTTGACAAACATACAGTACTTGTTCTCCCAGCCCGACTTGGCGCTTCGCTAATCGATATTCTCGCCACTCGTGCGCTTGAATGTCCAAACGCTCAGGTGACCCGGCGTTAACATGGGAGCCGTATTCTTCGCTGTCGACCATGTTCTTGGTCTTCATCAGTGGGATTTGAACTTCGTGCGGTAATTGTGCTGCGCCGTGAAACAGGTCCAACCGGATCCCAGCTGGGATCATAAAGTCGGTCCCGAGTACCACGTCGACGCCTGCACTATGCGCCATTACCCACATCTCGAATTCGTACACCATCTCCCATCCGAGCGTAATCTTGACGCATGCTCGTCGTGTCGAATACACCTTGCCTTCGTTGATTCCTTGAATGTCAATGCGGCGTCTGTGATCGGGTACATCTCGGAGCCGTAACATCTTGGCAAAGGCGTCAGTGATCACACTAACGTTCGCACCTGTGTCGAGGGGGATCCTCGTTCGCTGGTCGTTCACAGCGCCTTGCACCAGAGCTCTCATTCGGATCCGTCGGTCGAATTTCTTGGCCGACCACCACCCTTGTCTCTCGCCAGGGTTCAACTTCGTCATCTTGGAGTGACCCTTGGGCTTGTCTCGCACTGCACTCGAAACCACGCCGAACGAACCCTCGCTGGTGCTCCCATCAGCATCAGCACACTCCACTCCCTCTTCAACACCTCCACCGAGGATTCTACTCCTCTCCTTTTCATTTTCCGTCGCGTTCACACTTGTTAAAGAATTATCAGGCCATTCACTCTGCTCCATGAAAGCAAAGATACATTCTGCTTCCATTGAAGGCTCGGTTAGCTGTGGCAGCTCGATAGGGACCAACCCAGTTGTAGTTGGCGGGCTGCCTAGTTTAAATTACGTTCATGAACAACGGCCCTGAGCTCTAGTGGGAGTTCCTCCTTCGTGCCTTTAGTACCCACGAATTTTGGCAAGGTCTTGGAAGTTGCGGAAAAGCTCACATTGTCCAGCATCGTGGAGTTGTTTGCAGAACTTGCATCGCTTGTTACAGTAGTGGGTGGAGTGACTCATGCTACCGCACACCGCGCAAGGGCCGTACGGTGGGCGTCGGTTGTCGCGGTTGAAGTCACGTCGACCGCGTTGGTCCTGATTGAACCCACGGTCACCACTTCGGCGCTCTTGGTTGAAGCCATTCTCGCGATCGAGCGTGTTTCCACGCGGTTGGCGGCTGTCTGAACGTGCGTAGGTGCCTTCAGCGGCTGCACGGCGCTCATTTTCGTTAGCCGCGGCGAGGTATAGGTCATTTTCATCCAATTAGAAATCACCATCCGTATTATCGGGCATGAAAGTCGTTGTACTCGTCTTGCACATCGTTGTAAACGTTCGGATCTTCGTTTGAATACTCGGTGTTTCCCTGAGCAGCTTCGACCCTCTAATTCAGCTAGTAGGTCATTCACCGTGGCTTTAATGAGCGTCACGCTTGGTTTATTGCGGTTATCATCGCGGCGACGGTCATCACGCCGATTGTTGCGGGCGTACCCATCGTCGCGTCGCGCATCACGACTCTTGGAGTATCGATAATCGCTGTCACGCTTGGCCATTCTCTCCTTGCCCTGGAGAATATCTTCGATGCTCGCTTCGAGCTCGTTAATGTCGGTGACTTGAGCGTGGTAAAGACTCTTTGCCAACTTGTCATCTTCGCACGTTGCCAGGAACTGCTGTACGTGTTCTTTCGCGTCGCGACCACTCTTCTCGAAGTGTAGACGGCCGTTCCGAGCGTAGCCATTCAGCCTGTTTATGTAGTCGCACAGATGTTCGTTACGCTCCCGCTTTGCAGAGTAGTAACGGGACAGCGCCGTCTGCGTGAACTGCGAGCAGTAATAGCGGATGAACGCATCGTTCAACAGTTTCCACCTCCGCTTCGTCTTCTTCGGAAGTTGACGGAACCAATGA